GCATGGTGGAGGAGGGAGGAGGGGGACAAGGAGGAAAGGAGGAAGGAGCGCCGGGCACTGTCTCCTCAAAACGAAGGCCTAACATCACAGGATGGTTGGGAGAAGCGAACGCGCACATTCGCATAGCGAGACCCTGTGCCCACTGCGGCCTCGAGCGTTCTTCGGGGCGTGATCCACCCAGAGCAACCGCTCCGCTTTCGCATGCGCACAGTAAGACACCACTTCAGCACTCTTCTTGAGCGCTCGCTCTGGCAGGGAGTTCACCAGGCACCGCCCAAGTGGCCCATGGCATCTACAATGCCGCGCCCGCCTTCGCCTCACCAGTGTCAGCAGCGCGGTTCCTCTTGCTTGCAGGCCCCACAGCGTTCTGGTCTTGCTGGCGAGTCGGTCTGTGGGCTATTCCCAAGACAGGGCCGATTTGGCCGCTGGTAGCGTTTCAATGGTTTGATGCCACGAAACGTCTGTGCCGCAATGTGTTACAATGGTGCGCGGTTGCGCCAGGATGTTGTTCCGAACTGCCCACTCTACGGCTCCGCTGTGCCAGCTTGGTTTTGCGTGGCGCCCTTCCCGATGGGAGATTTCATTGTTGTTGCGCATCGTTGCACAATTTAGTGCGTTTGGTTGTGTTTTGAGCGGCCTTTTGCAGTCTCAGCGGCGGTTTGGTTGCCCCCCCCGCTTCCGCCACCCCCCAAGTGGAGCTGCATGAGTTTGCCGCTGGAGAAAATCGGGGGGGGGGGGGCGCCGATATCTCGGCGCCTGCCCGCCGCCCGAGGCCGCGCCCGAGGGAATTCGCGGAGAGACCAACGTTGGAAGCGTTGTCCATATCCTCGGGATCTGGGATGTCCAGCCAGGTCGCATCCAGTCCGAAGAAGGCGCCGCCGCCCTCTGAATTGGCTGGGTTATCGGAGGGAGATCCGCTCGAGCCCAAGCGTGACCGCTCTGTTGACGAGGCTCCAGATGGGCGCGGGGCCCGTTCCCGCTGTCGGCCGCCCGGCGGAGGCGGCGCGCCGGGGGGGGGGGGCGTGGTCGAGCGGCCCCATGGCAGCCGAGTTGGTCAGCGAGCCTAATACTAATCAGCCCAATGCGGAAGTCGCAGAGGGCTGGCAGTTAAAGCCACTTCCGCCAAGTGGCGCGTCTCGGTCTCTGACGTGATCTCCAGGCCTGGATGCGTCGGCCTGCCGTCGCGCGCGCGGTCCTGTCCATCAGTGCAAGAGGCCCTGGTGATGCGCGCAAGGGTCGAGGAGACTGGCGATGAACGGGTCCCCACCTTGGTTGTTGCTCCAACTGGTTCAAATGTATCGCCCAGTCGGTGCGCATATTCTGGGGCGGCCAGCGCGGTATCTGGATCAGCGACGAGGTCGAGTGGGGGTGTTCGCAGCGGCGACGTCATCGACTACTGAGCCTGTTTCCTGTTCTGTTATGTGGATGCGTTTCGCATCGTTATCTTTGGACTCCCTGGCTGGCCCCCCTGCGCGGGGGAGCAAGTTGCCCGCGTGCCGGCTTGGTGCGCGCGGGCAGTGGTTCGGTCGGATCAGCGTTCGCAGTCTAGGCTACCTCGCGACTGACGCCCTTTTTACAAACCCGGATTGGCTCGATCTTCCGCTGGTCGACGTGGGGCGCGGTTATCGTCGTCCGCGCCAGGGCGCGTCCGACGCTCGGGTGCTTATTCGGGCGTTTTCAGACATGCAAGAGGACGAACTGTCAAGTGTGTTCGGCGCGACGTTCGGCGCGCTTTTGTCGGGGGGCCCCGCGGCGCATTGCGCCGGAGTTTTCCGCGAAGAAGCGCGCGGCAATCGTGCCGAAATCAGCGTTGGAACTGTTGCCGTGCGTTCCGCCACAGGCGTTGACTGATTACGTGCTTCATTCATCTCGCGGGCTGTCTTGGTATCTCTACTAACAATGGGGGGGGTGTCTGGGGCGGGGGCAGGGGCGAGTCGGGGGCGCCCTTGTTATCGCCGAGGCACTGCTGGCACCGGACCAGGGTCAAACTAGCGATGTCCAGCGACCGTCGCGTTATTGACGCCCGCGAGTCTCTTCTTCGGGGGCGTGCGTCATCGGTCCAAACTCCGGTAGGGCGCGGTGTGCTGGCTAGCGTGGTGATCGGCCGTTGATTTCCAGCGATGGACCTGGGGGGGCCGCTGGATGGTCGATCCGAACATTGGCTCCGGTTAAAGAGGGCGCGTGGGGACAATTCTGCGTTATTTCGTTGTCTTCGCAACCCAGATCGCAGCTTCGGTGAAGCGATGGGCAGGTTGACCACAGCAGTGTCGTTCGCAACGTAAGACACATCAGGAGCGATGATTTCGGATGCTGGCCGAATTTGAAAGAACATGGTGAAGCGGACCAGCTTGGCCATTTCTGCGACGCCATCGATGAGGCCAACATTTACCCAGTGTTCTATTCAAACTACTCTCCAGAGTGGGCGCGCTGGCGATGTGGCAGGGCAGCCTTGCTGGCCAGGCCCGTTAGTCGTCACCACCGCCGCCAGGGGATAATTTTTCCCTTTCTCCTTTCCCTTGTTACTTGGTGTGATCGGTGTTGACTGGTTCACAATGTTGCACCTAGCGGCACATTACCAATGCATCGTGCGTTGGCCCTTGCCCGTCCACGCCACCCTTTTCAGCCGCGTTCTACTTGTGCACTTCTACTTGCTATCTCACAACGCAATCACGCTCATCTGAGTTCGAGACTCGGCGTAAAGATAAATCAGTTTTGCTAGCCCTCATCTGGTCCGCTCTATACAGGTTCATCACCCGGTCACCCATCGGCCATGACAGCCGAGGGTGCCCTGATAGAACATGGCCCTGCGACTGGGTGGGGAGCATAGGGTAGGTTTGCGTCGTGCCGACCAGCGGCGACCCCAGCGCGGGCGTTCAAGGTTGAACGCCGCCGGCGACCCAGAATCGATCGATGTTGAACGATCGGACGTTGCGGCAGCGGCCGATCGTTCAAGGTTGAACGATCCCTGCGGTGTCAAAAACCAACGCTGGGGTCGGCACGACACGAACCTGCCGTAGTTGTATAGGTCGGTCGAGCGACCGTCGTTACCGAGGTTTTTTTGTTCAAGCACGCGCAGATGGAGCGCCCGCCGAACCCCGTTGCTGAAGCGCATCTCCCGTTACCATCGAATCTTCGCCGTGCAGATCCTCCTCGGCAGTTTGGAGGAGGAGGAAGGGGAGAAGGAGGAGGAGGAGGATGAGGAGGAGGAGGATGAGGAGGTGGATGAGGAAAGGGATGATGATGATGATGATGATGATGATGATGATGATGATGATGATGATGATGATGATGATGATGATGATGATGATGATGATGATGATGATGATGATGATGATATGATGATGCTGATGCTGATGCTGATGATGATGATGATGATGATGATGATGATGATGATGATGATGATGATGATGATGATGATGAGGAGGAGGAGGAGGAGGAGGAGGAGGAGGAGGAGGGGTAAGGGGAGGAGGAGGAGGACGAGGAGGAGGACGAGGAAGTGGAGGATTCTGATTCTGATTATGATGATTATGATGATGCTGCTGATGATGATGATGATGCTGATGATGATGACGATGCTGATGACGATGACGATGCTGATGATGATGATGGTGATGATGATGATTATGATGATGATTATGATGATGAGGATGATGCTGCTGATGATCATGATGCTGATTATTAGTATGATGATGTTGCTGCCGATGATGATGATGGTGATGTTGGTAATGACGGAGCTACTGTTGATGCTGGTGACCATGGTGACGATGATGGTGATTGTGATGCTGATGTTTATGATGCTGCTGCTGATGATGATGATGATGATGATGGTGATGATGATGATGATGATGATGATGATGATGATGATGATGATGATGATGATGATGATGATAATGATGATGGTGATGATGATGATGATGCTGCTGATGATGATGATGCTGATGTTGATGCTGACGATGATGATGGTGATGGTGATGGTAATGGTGAAGGTGATGATGATGATGATGCTCCAGATGATGATGATGATGATGATGATGATGATGATGATGATGATGATGATGATGATGATGATGATGATGATGATGATGATGATGATGATGATGATGATGATGATGATGATGATGATGATGATGATGATGATGATGATGCTGATGATGATGATGATGATGATGCTGATGATGATGATGATGATGTTGGTGGTGGTGGTGATGATGATGATGATGATGTTGCTCATGATGCGGATGATGATGATGCTGATGTGATGATGTGCTGATCTGATGAGGATGATGATGAGGGATGATGATGATGATGTGATTACGATGACGATGACGATGACGATGATGAGATGATGATGATGATGATGATGATGATGATGATGATGATGATGATGATGATGATGATGATGATGATGATGATGATGATGATGATGATGATGATGATGAGATGATGATGATGATGATGATGATGATGCTTGATTGATGATGATGATGATGATGATGATGATGATGATGATGATGATGATGATGATGATGATGATGCTGATGATTGATGATGATGATGTTTGATGATGATGATGATGATGATGATGATGAGGATGAGGATGAGGATGAGGATGAGGATGAGGATGAGGATGAGGATGAGGATGAGGATGAGGATGAGGATGAGGATGATGATGATGATGATGATGATGATGATGATGATGATGAGGATGAGGATGAGGATGAGGATGATGATGATGATGATGATGATGATGATGATGATGATGATGATGATGATGATGATGAGGAGGAGGAGGAGGAGGAGGAGGAGGAGGAGGAGGAGGAGGAGGAGGAGGAGGAGGCGGAGGAGGAGGAGGAGGAGGAGGAGGAGGACAAGTCGAGGAGCGCCCAAATGGGCGAGGACGTGGTGCGGGCAGGAGCTGGAGCAGCCGACCGCGTGGTGGGCGTGTTCTCTGGCCGCTTCGCTTCCCTCTCCATCCCAGACAGCCCTGCCGCCCCCCTCAGGACAGCGACGCAGGCCCTGGCGCGCCGCGGAGCTTCCGACTTCCCTTTTTCGGGTGGGTGGGTGGGAGGGGGCGGTGGATGATGGGCTTGGAGAAGTGGCGGACGAGGGGTAACACAAAGGGGCCAGACTTTGGGAGCTGTCGTCCTTGCCCTACACCCCCCCCCCTGCGGGCCCACTGGCCTCGATACCCTTTTCGGGAGATCGTCGACGCGATGGTTTCCCCCATGGGGGGGTGGCACAGCTCGCCCAGCTGTGGCTGGTCGGTGCGAGCTGTGCAGGACGGGCGGGTGGGGGCGGGACCGGAGGGTGTTTTGGCGGCGGGGGCTGGAAAGGTGCAGGGCGGGCGGGAAAGGGCCTGGCGGACGAGGGGGGCGGAGTTTTTGGGGGCAGGGGCACCAGCGGTGCAGGCGGGGTGGGACGGCGGAGGGAGGCTGGCCGCCATTGCTCGTATCAAGGCAGTTCTGCCCGCTGCGTCGGCTCGATGGAGCTTTGCAAGCGCATCTGGAGCCAGGCTCGCAGACCCCTGGCCGGGCCGACCGCCTTCCTGTCAGGGGCGGGGGTGTTGACGGGGTGAGGGGGGCGGTGGGGGCAGGGGGGACGGCGGGGGGAGAACGGAGGGGGAGGGAGCGGGAGGAGCGCGCACGAGTCGCTGCCATGTGGGCCAAGCGGCCGCCCCAGGCGCCTGCCAATCGGTCCCCCCCCGTCTTCGTCGTCCTCCCAATCGGGTTTTTGTTCCTCCGCCTCCTCGTCCTCCCGCCCCCTCGCTATCTGCAATCAGCTCTTTTTTCCAGTTGTCGTTCTCCTTGCGCTCTCCAGTTTCAGTTCAAGCGTTGGCGTAAGTATGCGTGTAAGGCTGGCGCTGGTATGAATGGTAAGATGGCAGGCGCTTCAGGGAGATGTTGAAGAGCAAAGAAGTGAGGGTTGGCACAGCCTCTGCTGGCTTGCCCTGTCGCAAAGTAAAATGCACTTCTTTGACTGCTACACGTTTTTATCGGTTCCTCGGGGGGAGGCCCCTTCACAGTTTCAGTTCAAAGGGGGGGGGCCTCCGTCACTGCGGCCACCAGTGTGGCTCTTATTCCCCCTTTGAGAGTAAAGACCTGCCAGTGAGCCATGTAAGGATAACTTGCAATGTAAAGAAACAAGGATGTAGGTGGGACCTCTCCCTGTGTCCATGGGGGTCCTGGCATTAGCATCCACCACTGTCCCCAGCCTGCCTCCCGACTACCAAACTCCAACCATCCCCCACATGCTCACCCTGTCGGGCCGGCGCTGCCTGGCCAGAACAGGGCAGTCGACCGACTTGGTCTGTATTGGGCTAGAGTATAGCTGCTCGAAAGATGAGCGTGGCAAGAGCTGAGACTTGTCAGTGATGGGCACCGTAAAGGCTGGCCTAAGTGTTGAGATAGGTCCTCGGCTGAAGTAGAGCTGCCAAAGGAAGAAACGGCGAGGGCTGAGACACGTCACTGAATCTGGCCGAATTGTACGACGGGACGTGCTGCAGACATGTCAAGTGCCGGGCTGGGTTGCGCCCTCGGTCTTCTTGAACCGCTGCCGCTTCCGCCACCAGTCTGCCCGACCGTTGGCGTGTCAGCAACCGTGGGGTGACTCACGCCGAAGATAAGATTAAGCAGATCGGCCAGGGGAGGCAGGGCGGAGAGGCTGTCAGTCCCACGGCGCCGCGGAATCTTCGGTCTGGAAGGGGGGAGGGGGCCAGGCTCGGGAGCCCAGCGGACCATGTGAACGTGATAGACAGAGGAGGGAGGCTGTGCGTTCCGAAGCGTCTTGTAACATTAGGCTGCCTGAGGCTGGCCTGTGAAGGCTGGCCTAAGCATCCTCTCCCCTTCTCCTCCTCCTTCTCCTTCTCTTCCCGTTCCGCCGATCCTCCTCCCCTCCTCCTCCTCCTCCTCCTCCTCCTCCTCCTCCTCCTCCTCCTCCTCCTCCTCCTCCTCCTCCTCCTCCTCCTCCTCCTCCTCCTCCTCCTCCTCCTCCTCCTCTCCCCTCCTACCCCTCCTCCTGTCCCTCCCTTACCCTCCCCTCCCCTCGTCCTCCCGCTCCCGAGCCCTCCCCGCACAGGACCCCGGCCGGTGCCCCGGGGCGGCGCGGCGCCGCGGCGTGGAGCGGGCCCGGCACGCCCGCAGAGGAGCCACTGCTACGGCCCCGTTCGAAGTTGCCGCCGCCACGGCCTGCGCCGAGGAGTAGGAGGAGGAGGAGGAGGAGGAGGAGGAGGAGGAGGAGGAGGAGGAGGAGGAGGAGGAGGAGGAGGAGAGGTGGAGGAGGAGGACGAGGAGGAGGAGGTGGAGGAGGAGGAGGAAGGAGGAGGAGGAGGAGGAGGAGGACGAGGAGGAGGAGGAGGAGGAGGGAGGAGGAGGAGGAGGGAGGAGGACGAGGAGGAGGAGGAGGAGAGGAGGAGGAGGAGGAGGAGGACGAGGAGGAGGAGGCGGCGGAGGAGGAGGAGGAGGAGGAGGAGGAGGAAGGAGGAGGAAAGGGGGGGCGAGGCCACGGCACCGTTCCGGTTCGAAGGGTCGAGGTTCGAAGGATGGCCCAGCGGATCGGCAGTTGGCTGGCGAGGTCGCGCGGCAAACCCTTCCTGCCCCTCCCTCTCTTCCTCATGCTCGTCATCCTCATCCTCCTCGTCCTCCGCCTCCTCCTCCTCCTCCTCCTCCTCCTGCTCCTCCTCCTTTACCCCTCTGCGCGGGCGTCAGCGCGTGGGTGCCCCGATCGAGGTTCGAAGGATCGAAGTTTGAGGTTTTCGCGCGTGTCCGTGGGCTCCCGGGGATTTTGCAGCCTCGGGATGCTTTCCAGCAGCCTGGCGTCGCTGTGGGCGATTTGGGCGTGCCCGAATCGTTCCGAACGGTCGCTAGAGAATCGAACCATCACCAGAAACGAGACTTCGTCGCGTCGTACAGAAATGCGGATACTTTTTTTGAGATTTTCGGCTTTGGGTTTTTTTTGGCCCCAGGTCCGTCAAAGCACGGTTCAGTATACAAAATCAATCTTGGGGAACCGGTCGACATTTCCGTTGATTTGCTGTGATGAAATCCCAGGAAAGGGGGGCTTTGGCACGATTCAGGATCGTCAAGACGTAACAGTCAGGTTAACCCGTGGCGTTGAAGTCCAGATTATGCTATTTTTGGAGTGTTTCAAGATATTCCCACGATTGTCCCCCAGCGGGGCAATGCCTCCAGTGGAAGCGACGCTTTTGTAGGGGCCTATGAATAAGGATCTTGGAGGGAGGGTGCATTTCAACATCGTTGATGAGTCTTGTGTTTACGCTGGTCCTCCTCCTCCTCCTCCTCCTCCTCGTGGCACCTGTGTCAGTGGGTCTCCTTGACAGGATAACTGGCGGGTAGCTTCCTGTTCGCCACCCCGGGCCAGTCCCTGGGGGAACAAGATGTAGTCGTAGGCCCTCCAGGCTTGCGCTGTGGCGGGATGGGCGAGGCCCTGTGGTCGCGGGGCTGTCATCGCCCAGCCGTATGCGGCGGGCGGAAGCATTCCAGGATCTCAGGGCCTCGTCACTCTTGCCGTGGCGGGGGGGGAGCCACCCGCTGCTGGGGGTGGGTGGGTGCGGCGAGTCGCGCCGTACGCCAGTGTGCCGCATTCGGGTCACGCTGTTTCCACGATGTGGTCGCAGTGGAGGCTCACGGATGCGTGCCACCTGACCCCCCTTTGGGCTGGGGGACCTGCGGGGGTGGTCGTGGGCACCATGTCGACCCGGGCCTGGTGACTTGCCAGGTCGTCGAGGGTGTTCCAGGGTTCGGACCTGTCAGAGGCGGGGCTTGGGTCGGCACCCCTGGGGGGGGCCATCAGCATTCGAGCGAGCAGAGCGGAGCGGACTCGCGTGCGGCGCTGCTTCTTCTGGGTGAACGCTCAGTTGTTATTTGCCTGTCCGCTCGGAGGACCTTTTTTTGGGCAGTCGTCTTGCCCCACTGTTTTTCATGCTGGGTAAACGGTGTGGCCACGCACTGCATGGGGCGGCGGTGGTCCGTCGTCATCTGAGGCCAGGTTGTCTTGGCTCGATTTTGTGAAAAGGCCTGGTCGTCCAGGCCTTTGTGGGCCCCGGAAACGGCAGGGCCGTTTTTTCACCGTTTCCAGAAGAATGCCCATTGTAAATGGAAACGGCCAAAAAACGGCGACCGGAAACGGCAAAAAAACTGCTCCAGGATTGGAACCGGAGCCGGAACCGGTCCAAAGACGGTGACAGAACCGGTAAAAAAAACGGCGTCGGAACCGGCAACAAAAACGGCCAAACGGAACCGGTAAAAAAACGGCCCTGTCGTTTCCAGGGCCCATTGAGGTCCAGGCACGCAATGCTGTCGCGAGAACTCGCCGAGCTGTGGTCGCGGGAAAAAACTCATCCGCACTTCTCTCATCCTCGTACGTCCTTCCTCCTCCCCCTTCTCCTCCTCGTTCCTCCCCCTGTCCGCCGTCCTCCCCGTTCCTCCCCCCCCTGTTCCTCCTCCTCCTTCTCTTCCTCCTCCTTGTTCTCTTCCCCCTCCCTCATTCGCTCTCGTCCGTGCTCGTCCGGCCCCCTGAGAGGAAACCGACGAGGCCGACCCGCTGGCGCTCCTGCGGCTGGCGGAGAATTCGTCCCGCATCTCCGGAAGGGCCTTCCGCGACCTGGCGTTCCCGCCGGAGGCGGCGCTGCCTCCCGGTGGCGGCGCGAGCGGCAGCAGGCCGCGGCGGGGGTGGGCGTGGGACCTCGTCGTCGTCGTCGTCCTCGCTGGGCCATGGAATCTCAGCCCCGCCATCCCACCACGGTTCTTCTTCCCTCCTTCCTGCCCCCCAGCCTTTCCCGCGATGTGCTGCTGCTGCTGCTGCCCCTCCCCTCCCCCCTCGACGGGATCCATCGCTGGTGATGCCCATCTTGTGGGAAAAGGCCTCTCAAGGTAGTTTCGCTGGAGTCTCTTACCGGGATATCCTGTTGCCCTCGCTCTTCTTCGTTGGACGTGCCCGTACAGTGGCTGGCCATGTCCAGATTTCCAGGTTGCCTCTCCCTCCGCTCCCCCCTCAGTCGACCACAGGCAAGAGTGACCCGTCGCCAGAGTGACGGTGTGTGCGGGCCCACTGGGGCCCCCTATCGCCGAACGCGATTGCGACGGTGGCGTCTGGCGCGCTTGTGCGGCCCCCGGAGAGCCGCGCGCCAGAGGCCACTCCGACGCAGGGTGGTCGCTCCTGCGCGTCGCCGATCCTGGCGTCCTCCACCGCCCCCCCCCCCTCCTCCCGCTCCAGGGTCGAGTGCTGGCGCCGCCCGTGGGAGATCTCGCGCCACGACGGCCAGTGCCTCGAGGACGACGCCGTCTTCGGCCTGGGGCTGTGCGGGGGCCCGCCGGAGCACCAGTGGTGCCTCTTCCAGCCCGCGCCGTGCGCCGAGGACGTGGTGCAGGGCGAGCCGCCGGGGGGGCGAGCGGGGGAGGGCTCGGGCGCAGAGGCCTCGGGGGGGGGGTCGACCTCGGGCCGTGTTGTTCCCATCGTGGTTTCTTGCGGGCCACACGCCAGGAGCAGCTTCGAGCACGTGGAAAACCATGGAGCCAGTGTCTGCCCGACTTCGCCGGCGAAGTGTCGAACGAGTATCGCCTCCCAGCGCCGGACACGTGAACACCCATGATTTCGATGCTTTCTTGGTGCTCGAATTTGCTCCTGGCGATCAGGGCTGAAGTAGTAGGTTGGACCATTAGATCGTTAGGGCTGACTTGGCCATTCCCTGGACTGATCTGAGACTGCTCTTATCTGCTGCAGCCGCACGGCTGCCTATCCTGCCAGCGACTCGAGAAAACGAAGCCACCGCCCTGCGCGCGCGAGTTGACATGGCGAGCGTAAGAGGAGGGGCTGGGGCGCCGTGCAGGGGCCGAACTCGGCCCGCTGATAGTTCAAGGGCCGGCGCTGAGAGCAGGAAGGAGCCGAGAGCAGGAACAGGGCTGGACCATCTTATGAGCCGCGGGGGGAGGGAGCTCGGCGGAGGCTGGGCGGGCCAGGTGGGTCACCACCCACCAAACCACCCCAACCCAACCCGAAGGCTCAAATTTACCGTCGATTTCCAGTGGGGGGGGGGTCGGGGAACATCGAAAAAACACGCGTGGAACCCTTACCCCCCCCAACCCGAAATTCGGGTCTTCGGGTTGGGTTGGGGTGGTCTGGTAGGTAGTCAGTGGGCGGCCGCCGTGGGCCGTGGGCGGGGGGGGGGCTGCCGGGGAAGCAGCCCGCGGGCGAGAGGACCGCAGGCGCCGCGCGGTGCCGCCCGATGCCGCCCGCGCCTCGGAGGCAGCGCGGAGGGGAGGCGTGGGGCCCCGCCTCCCCGGCGGCCTCCCCTGGCGGGGGAGGCCGGGGGGGGGGGAGCCTCTTCCTCTTCCTCCTCGTCGTCCTCCTCCTCCTCCTGCTCCTCTCCCTCCTCCTCCTCCTTGCCCTCTCCCTCCTCCTCTCCCTCCTCCTCTCCATCCTCCTCTTCATCCTCCTCTCCATCCTCCTGCTGCCCTTCCTCCTTCCTCCTCCTCCTCCTCCTCGTCCTCCTCCTCGGGTGGGCCGTCGCGTACTGGGGGGCGGGGCGACAGATGGGGGGCAGCGAGGGCAGCAGAAAAAGGACCCATGGGTCCCCTCCGGAGGCCATTTTAGGGGTCAGACGGAAGCCTTTGGGTAGGGCCCGAGAAGTATACCGTTCTCCCTCCCCCCAGTATTTGCAGTCAACCCGAATGGTAAGAATAAGCAGCCTTCCCAAGGGTACCCTTGCATCCTTGCCCCTTCGGCCCATCTTTGGGCACTTTCGCTGGCCAACCCTCGTTCGAATCGCGTTAACATGGGCCTTCCAAGGCCCTTGCATCCTGGCCGCGCATCTTTGTGATACGGGTTGACTGTATATCGGCCGCGAGCGAGGGGGGAAGTAAGAAGGAAACGGCCTTCTCAGAAGACGGCGGGGCTCCTCATTAGCCCCACCGCGCCTTCTGACAAATTTTCTTTGCCTTCGGGGGAAGCTCTAAGAAACTGTCAGGAGGCTGAGGGGTTTCTGAGCCTTTGAGAAGGCCCGCCCCTTGTCACTTCCTCACATCGCTCGCCACCAACTATAGGAGGGGGGGATCTCATGGCGGACGAGGGATTTTCCTCTTGAGGTGAAAACGGCGATGAGGAGGTCGCGAGAAAACATCGCCGCCGCCGAACGCACGGCGTGTGGAGGGATGTTTGCAGCAGCCAGGAGACGCGGAGAGCTGTTGGGAGTGCGCGAGGCAGCGCATGACGCATCTTGGGAAGTTGATAGCCGAACCCTCCTCCCCCGTAGAATCTGAACGCGGGCGGGTTGCAGTTGCGGGGTCGCGGATCCGATTTCTTCGGGCTTCCCGCTTCAATTTGCTGATCTAAGTTTAAGACCGGGTAGGCATCGGATCCGTGTGAAAAACAGGACGAACATCGGATCCGCAACATCCGAATTCGGATCCGTGCGGGCGGAAATCGGATCCACCGAAGAGCAAGGCAAACCCAAGATTGGATCCGCGCAGACTTACTCGGATCCGACGGCGAGTACCTCACATGCGTCGGCTCGAGACTTTACACTGTCGTTCTGGGCCCAAGAGAACACACTCTTGCCCCCGGGGATGCATCTCAATGCGTTCCCGGGCCCCCCCTGGGCCGCGCACGTGCCGCTGGCCAGGAATGGCGCCCCCCTTCTTGGGCGCCCCCCCTCGTGGATGTCCGCGAGGGTGGGGGGGGGGGGGCAGGAGGAGGAGGAGGAGGAGGAGGAGGAGGAGGAGGAGGAGGAGGAGGAGGAGGAAGAGGAGGAGGCGGAGGCGGAGGAGGAGGAGGGGGAGGAGGAGGGGGGGGTGGGGGGGGATTGGCGGAGGCCAGAACGGGGAGGGGGTGGAGGGACAACGGGGGGCGGGGCCGGTGTCGGGGGCAGCACTTTGGGGGTGACAGGCTCAAAGGAGGAGGAGGAGGAGCAGGAGGAGGCGGAGAAGGAGGAGAAGGAGGAGGAGGAGGAGGAGGAAGAGGCATCGTTCTTCCGTCGCCCATCGGTCGCCGATAGGGTCCTAGTAGCCATCCTCGCCCATGAATCGTGCGGAGTTGCCATCGTGGGCCATCGCCGGTTCTAGGTCGACGTCCCTCCCTGAGCCCAGTCCCCCTTTGTCGCTGCCCCACGGGCAGAGGAGGGGGGGGAGGTGTGGAGTAGGCGGGGGAGCAGGGAGCGAGATGTGTGAGTGGGAGCATATGGGGAGGGCGACGGAAGTAAGGCAGGCGGGGGGAAGCGCTGCAAGGGGACGACGAAGGGCGGGGGGGGCAGAGGGGAGACGGGGTCAGGAAAGGACGGCAATGTGAGCAAAGCAGGAGGGGAACAGGGCAGCGGGTACAGCGACGATGTTCACGATACAGCTGCTGGTGATGATGACAGCGATGCTTGTTCTGCTGATGACAGTGCTGGTGATTCTGTTGATGGTGGTTACGAGGATGGTTATGCTGATGCAGGTGTGCTTGTGTTGCTGCTGCTGCTACTGCTGACGGGCCACCCTTGCAACCAGCGTATGCACCCACCGCCCACGTTCCCCAGATGCACTTCTTAGAGCAAAAAGCGGTGGACCTAATAGGGGAGATGACATGGGACGTTTAGGAATAGGGGTTGGTCGAAGAACAAACAGGCATAAACATAAGCGTTCTACTGTTCGCGCGGATTTCTTGGATCTGCGTCGGGCCCCCCTGGCGGCGCCCCTGGCGCGCTCCGCCATGGACGGGGGTCCAGCGCAGATCCAAGAAATCCGCCTGGACCTCCACAAGTTTTTGTTTACGTATGCAGTGTTTGGTCCTCCAGGGTGGGCAGACGGAGGAGACGGCTCGGTGCCGGGGGCTCTGGCACGGGGTGCGTTTGACGCGACACCCCACCAGAGGGGGCCGAGCTCTTCCCGGATGCACATTTCCTCGTCTCCACGCGTGGGTGCCTTGGCCTCTTGATAGGAGGAGTTGCGTTCGTGTGCTGCCGTTGTCACGGCACCACCTGGTGAGGCGTCTGGTACAGTTGGACAGAGGTATAACATCGAGGTCGGTTCGGGGAGGGTACCCTCATGTTCTGCGTGTTTGTTGGATGTTCTTGTGCATCCTGGCGGGGGTACCCTCTGTGCGTTTTGGCGATTGGAGGGTCTCATGTTCTTGAAGGATGTTCTTCTGTCCTGGGTCCGACCGCACTCGTCTGCGGACGAGGCTCCCGAAACGCGTGGCACTGCGACAAGCAGGGCGGCCGACAGCGCCCACACCGTAGCGCCATCCTGGCGCTGACGAAGGGCAACGGTTCATTGCTGGCTTTGCCGTGGTCGAGGGACGCCATGAACCCGAGCTAGACCCTTCGGACGCGCGTGACGCGTTGTGCACGTCGCGGCCAAGCCAACGCATGCATCATGGGTCACTGGGCACTCGTAGCCAAGGACAAAACAACAAACTCACCAGAGTCAGCGGCAGCTCGAGCTTGGAGCGGGCCCAGGAGGACGACAGACCCCGACGTGCAAGGAGGCGTCACTTGACACTGTGGCCAGCTACCCCCGCGAGTCCCACCAGCTGAGGCTTGATGTCACGATCCGCTCGCCGCTCGTCCTGCGTTCGGTGCCGACGGCCCGGCAGGCTGCCAACCACAAGGGCGCTGCTGCGCATGCCGGCGTAGAGGGCAGGGCCTGTCGTCGTGAGGGGCTCGGACGAGGACAAGTCTGTTCCCGAGCATTCCAGAACGCTCTCAGAGCGTTTCGGAACGCTCTGAGGAGGCCGTGGCGCCCGATGCATCCTTCTCCTCCTCCTCCTCCTCCTGCTCCTCCTCCTCCTCCTCCTCCTCTTCCTCCCCCCTCCTCCCTCCTCCTCCTCCTCCTCCTCCTCCTCCTCCTCCTCCTCCTCCTCCTCCTCCTCCTCCTCCCTCTAGAGCCGCCGAACCCCAGAGAGTCTCGATCTGTCCTCGCCCGAGTTTGTCCTCGTCCTGGCTTTGTCTTCTGGCGCTCCAGCGGCGGCCTCGGAGCGAGCTGGCGAAGCGGGCAGCCTCTGGCAGAGGCAGGGGGCCGCAGCGCCTGGCGCGCACACGGAGGGCGGCAGCGGGGAGCGCGATATACCGGGAGCGCGATATTGTACAGTCGGGGCGCTGAAGAAGGAACCCTTTTCCTTGGGGAGGGGCTGCGTGTTCCTTGATTGTTTCACAGCTTGCCTGGGGTTTTCCTTAGGTTTTCGATGGGGAATCGAACTTTAACTGATGGGAAAAATGGGCCTCGTTCCTTATTTAGGGTTCCTTAGGTCAACGTCCCGACTGTACGTGGAGGCGGGCGGCGCGCTGCTGTTCGGCGGCGAAATCCGAGCCTTCCCCTGAATTCGGGCGTGTCCCTCTACAGGAGGAAGATTCAAGAGCAGTCAGAAATAGTCGGGGGACGATTTTGGGAGTTTTTTTTTTTTTGAGCATTCGTGGACTCTTTTTATCGTTCGCCCAAAATCCGCCTGCAGGGAGACATGCCAGACCTAACCCTACCCTCGCCGATCAAATATTCAGGTAAGTCGATGGGCGGCTGGGGTGGGGTTCGGAAGTCGTCGAACACGTGGCGAAATCCGAAGCCTACCCCCGCCTCGCATCGATTCAGGGGAATCGATAGTTGGTGGGGGTAGGGTTCGGACGTGGCCACCTAACTGTCGCTTGGTTCGGAAGCCGCCGTTGCCGCAGCTGCGCCGTGCGCGCCGCCAAGCGAAGCCGGGGCACCTGGCACGCGAACAGTACGGAGCCTTGAGCACGTGGAGGGGCTCCTGGTCGCTGCAGCTGCTGGGGCACTGGCTGGCAGCAGGAGAAGGCGTCGCCAGGCGGCGTGCTCGTCTGTGCAAGGGACATCCTCTCAGGATAAAGCAGGATGATGCTATGATGGTCGTGATGATGATGCTGCGGCTGCTGATGATGATAATGATCATGATAATGCTAATGATGATGCTGATGCTGATGCTGATGCTGATGATGATGCTGATGGTGATGGGGCAGCTGCCGATGATGATGCTGATGCTGATGCTGATGACGATGACGATGCTGATGATGATTATGATGATGATGATGATGAGGATGATGCTGCTGCTGATGCTGATGATGATGATGATGATGATGATGGTGATCATGATGATGAAGCTGGTTATGCTGATGATGATTTGATGATGATGCTGCTGATGATGATGATGGCCATCATGATGCTGATGCTGATGATGAGGATGAGGCTGATGATGACGCTGCTGTTGCTGATGATGATGATGACGCCGATGATGATGACAATGAGGATGGCGATGCTGCTGTTGATGCTGATGCTCATGATGATCATGCTGATGATGACGATGATGGTGATGACGATGCTGCTGCTGATGATGGTGATAATGATTATGATGATGATGATGCTGATGGTGATGACTATTCTTCTTCGTCTTCTTCTGATTATCATCATGATGATGGTGGTGGTGGTTGTGATGGTGATGATGCTGATGATGACGATGCTGGTGATGACGACGCTGCTGCTGCTGCTGCTGCTCATGATGATGCTGCTGGTGCTGATGCTCATGCTCATGCTGATGGTGATGTGGTTGCTGTCGATGATGATGCTGATGATGCTGCTGCTGATGATGATGATGATGGTGATGCTGATTATTAGTTGATGTAGTAGTAACGTTATTGTTTTTATGGTTCGAATTATAAGTATAGTGTTGTTATTAATACCACTCGTATTAGTCTTATTCCTTACTAGTTCATTCTGATGATGGTTGTGGTGGTGGTGATGCTGATGCTGATGGTGGTGGTGATGATGATGCTGGCCCTGCTGGTGATGGTGATGGTGACTGTGATGGTGTTGGTGATGGTCATGGCCATGGTCATGGTGATGGTGGTGGTGATCACGGTGATTATGGTGATGATGTTGCTGCTGATGATGATGAGGATGATGATGATGATGGTGATGATGCTGATAATGATCATGCTGCTGCTGATGATGATGTTGCTGCTGATGCTCATGTTCATGCTCATGCTGATGGTGATGGGGCAGCTGCCAATGATGATTCTGATGATGATGATAACGATGATGATGATAATGGTGATCATGTTAATGACGCTGGTTATGCTGATGATGATTAGATGGTGATGCTGCTGCTGATGATGATGATGATGGCCACCATGCTGCTGGTGCTGATGATGATGAGGGTGCGGATGCTGATGACGCTGCTGCAGATGATGACGATGATGTCGAGAATGATGACAAGGATGAGGATGGTGATGATGCTGATGATGCTGATGATCACGGTGACGATGCTGATGATGCTGACGATGACGGTGATGACGATGCTGCTGCTGATGATGATGGTGATACTGATTATGAGGATGATGCTGATGATGGTGATGATGGTGATGATTATTATTATTCTTCGTATTCGTATTATTAGGATGATGGTGGTGGTGGTTGTGATGATGATGCTGATGATGGCGATGCTGGTGATGACGACGCTGCTGCTGCTGCTCATGATGATGCTGCCGATGCTGATTATCATGCTCATGTTGATGGTGACATGGCTGCTGTCGATGATAATGCAGATGATGATCTTGATGCTTCTGATGATGACGATGATGGTGATGCTGATCATTATTTGTGTGTAGTAGTCACGTTATTGTTTTTAGTGCTCAACCTATAAGTATTATTCGTTTTACTATTGTTATTCGGATTACTAGTGTTATTTGATTCCTTACTAGTTCATTGTGATGGTGATTGTGGTGGTGGTGATGCTGATGCTGATGGTGGTGGTGATGATGATGCTGGCCCTGCTTTGGTGATGGTGATGGTGACTGTGATGGTGATGGTGATTGTCATGGCCATGGGCATGGTGATGGTGGTGGTGATGACGGTGATTATGGTGATGATGATGCTGTTGCTGATGATGATGATGATGCTGATGATGATGATGATGATGATGAGGATGATGTGATGATGATGATGATGATGATGATGATGATGATGATGATGATGATGATGATGATGATGATGATGATGATGATGCTGAGTATGATGATAGTGATGAGTGGGAGGAGGAGGAAGAGGAGGAGGAGGAGGCGGAGGAGGAGGAGGGAACTGAGGAGGGAGAATGGAGATGGGAGGTGGAGGAGGAGATTGCCTAGGGTGTGGGGGAGGGGGTCAGAGGATGAGTGGGAGACGGAGGCGGCGGAGGAGGAGGAGGAAGATGACGAGGAAAAGGCGAGTGAGGAGGAAGGTGGGAACGAGGATGAGGATGAAGACAAGGATGTGAAGGTGGAGGAGGAGGGGAATGATGAGGCGGAGGATGACGAGACAGAGGGAGGCGATGGAAAGGGAGAGGGGGAGAAGGAGGAGGAACAGGATGATGAGGAAGCGGCGCCCTGGTGCCAAGGACGCAGGCGCACGATTCAGAGGCAGATGATGATGATGCTGCTGCTGATGATGCTGATGATGCTGATGCTGATGATGATGATGATGATGATGATGATGATGATGATGATGTTGCTGATGCTGATGATGATGCTGATTATGCTGATGCTGATGCTGATGCTAATGATGATGCTGATGATGTTGATGGTGATGGTGAAGGTGATGGTGATGATGATGCTACTGATGGTGGTGTTGTTGTTGATGATGATGATTAGGACGACGATGATGGTTATGGTGAGGGTGATGGTGTTGGTGATGAGATGGTGGTGTTCATGATGGTGGTGATCATGATGATTTCGATTGCGATGACGGTGATGATGACGATGGCGATGAGGAGTGCTGATGGTGATGCTAATGCTAAGGCTGATGGGGATGATTGTTTGGGGCAGGCGAGGAACTGGCGCAGCTTTCTGGCGCGTCGGCGCAGGTGAGCTGGGCGACTGCTGGTTCCTCTCTGCGCTGGCCGTGCTGGCGGAGGCCCGCGGCGGCTCGCTGGCGCGGGCGCTGCTGCCGGGCCAGGATCCGACAGGGATTTGGGAGGGGGGGCAGAGAGATGGCGTGGCGGAGCGGAAGAAGGACACATGGTGTTGGTGATGATCATGATGATGTTGATGATGAGGGTGATGAGAATGATGAGGATGATGATGATGATGGTGGTGGCGGTGGTGATGATGATGATGATTCTGATCCCGATGATGGTGATGATGATGTTGATGCTGTTGGTGATGGTGATTATGATGCTCATGGTGGTGATGGTGATGGTGATGACGACGATTATGACGATGATGCTGATGGTGGTGATGATGATGCAGATTATGATGATGCTGATGATTATTATGATGGTGATGACGGTGTTGACGATGCTGCTGCTGTTGTTGATGGCAGTGCTGCTGGTGATGATGGCGGTGGTGTAAGTGACGGCGATGCCGCTGCTGCTGATGATGACAAGGTTGATGGTGATGTAATTGTGATCAAGCTGGCGATAGTGATTGTGATGGAGATGACGACGGTGGAAAGAGCGAGTTTTATGCTGATGTCAGGATCGTAGTACTTCTGATCACGATGTGGCTGCTGCTGCTGATGCTGAGTATGATGACGATGGTGATGATAACATCGGCGGTAGTTTTGATTATGACGGCTGTGAGTGTGATGAGTGGCAGAGGTGGTGGTGAGGATGATGCGATTGGTGGTATGGATGACGTTGATGATGGTACTGAGTATGACGATGTTGTTGCTGTTGTTGTTGCTGTTGTTGTTGCTGTTGTTGTTGTGGATGTTATTGTGGATGCTGTTGTGGATGCTGTGGGTGCTGTTGTGGATGGTGAACTCTCTTATGTATTGTTGGCCCCCCCTCCGGTGCATATTGTATTTTTCAATTGGAGTGCCCCTCCCGGCGCTCGCACTCTGTTTTTAATAAGGAAAGTCTTCCTCCTCAAATGGGAATTTGGCCCCGGGGTTACAACAACAACGGCTCCCGCCTGAGACTTCCTCACAATTCAGCCAGGATTTACTTGCAATTTACTGAAGAGTAGCGCCCTTGCGTTGGAATTTCCCGTAATTTACTCTAGCGCCGCGCTCCCGACATTCAGGCACCCAGGAGTCGTGCTCACGCTTAGGACTCCCTCACAGATTACTTAGGGCTCGGGATCTCGCTGCCCTTCGTGGCCCCGTTGCAGCCCTTCGTGGCCCCCTCGCTTTGTTTCGTGGCCCCGTTGTAGCCCTTCGTGGCCCCCTCGCTGCCCTTCGTGGCCCCGTTGCAGCCCTTCGTGGCCCCGTTGCACCCCTTCGTGGCCCTCTCGCTGCCCTTGGTGGCCCCGTTGCAGCCGTTCGTGGCCCTCTCGCTGCCCTGGGTGGCCCCGTTGCAGCCGTTCGTGGCCCTTTCGCTGCCATTCGGTGCCCCGTTGCAGCTCCTCGTGGCCCCCTCGCTGCCCTTTGTGGCCCCGTTGCAGCCCCTCGTGGCCCCCCCGCTGCCCTTCGTGGCCCCGTTGTAGCCCTTCGTGGCCCCCTCTGCCCTTCGTGGCCCCGTTGCAGCCCTTCGTGGCCCCATATATATATATATATATATATGCCCTTCGTGGCCCCCGCTTGTTCGCGCCCTTCGTGGCCCCGTATGCATGCCCTTCGTGGCCCCGCTGTCGCCCTTCGTGGCCCCCTCGCTGCCCTTCGTGGCCTCGTTGCTGCCCTCAGTGGCCCCGTCCTTGCCCTCCGCGGCCCAATATACGTATGCCCTTCGTGGCCCCCGCTCGTTCGCGCCCGCTGTGGCCCCATGTGCATGCCCTTCGTGGCCCCGCTGTCGCCGTTTGTGGCCCCCTCACTGTCCTACGTGGCCCAGTTGCTACCCTCAGTGGCCCCATCGTTGCCTTCTGTGGCCCCGCATTATCTGCCCTTCGTGGCCCCCGCTCGTTCGCGTTCCCTTCGCGTCCCACACGCGTTCCCTTCGCGTCCCCGCTGTCGCCCTTCGTGGCCTACTTCGTGCCCTTCGTGGCCCTGCTGTCGTTCTCTCTCGCTGTCGCTTTCGCCCGTCGTCGTCGTCGTCGTCGTGGTCGGTCCCCTGTTTGTCCCTCGTGGGGTCGGGCCGACGGTCCGCGGCCGCCCCGCCGATCAGCGCTACCGCTGGCCAGGCCGACGGTCTGCGGCCGCCCCGCCGCTTGCCGGGGCCCGGCCTGCAGGGAAGAAAGCTATATTCTCCCAAATGGGTACGATCGAAGACGAAGACGGCGGATATCGAGGGTTTGGGAAATACGCGGTAACGAACACTCGAGCAGGTAAGAGCGAACAATCTTAACATGGTTGGTGTTGCTGCTGTTGTTGTTGTTGTTGTTCGTGTTGGTGTTGGTGTTGATGATGTGGTTGTGGCTGTGGTTGTTGTTGTTGTTGTTGTTGTTGTTGTTGTTGTTGTTGCTGTTTTACTTGTTGTTGTTGTCGTTGAGTACTCATTTGCTCATTATTGATATCTGGAAGCGGTTCCGCGCGCTTTCCCTCGACGCCGGCCATATTTTCTTTGAAAGCGAGTCTCCCTTTCGAGCGTTGGCTTGAGCCTAGATGTGGGCCCTTGGAGACCTAGCTACGACAACTACCGCTCCCGCTCGACACTTCGTCACAATTTACTCCGAGACACCCTGGCCAAAGAGGCCCCCGAACTCAGGAACGGCGCTCTCGCTCGAGACTTCCTCGTAATTCAATTAAGTTGGCGGAGGCCCAGCCACGACGACAAAGGCTCCTGCTCGATACTTCGTCACGATTTACTCCGAGAGCCCCTGGCCAAGAAGGCCCCGAACTCAGGAACGGCGCTCTCGCTCGAGACTTTCCAATCATTCAGGCAAGTTGGTGGCGGCCCGGGCACGGCGACAAGGGCTCCCGTTCGATATTTCTCCATAGGAGTTCCGAAAACCCCTGGCCAGAGAAGGCCCCCGAGCTCAGGAACGGCGCTCTCGCTCGAGACTTCTTCGCACTCAGTGGCCGACAGGGAAGAGATTCCCCCCGAAAGGGGGTGCAATCGAAAGCGAAGTGGGCGGGCTTCGAGGGTTGGGGTATACGGAATGCAGGACACGCGTGCCAGCAAGAGCGAACCGTCTTAAAATCATCGTCGTCGTTGACGTTGTTGCTGTGGCCTTGGCGCCGGCTACATTTTCATTGAAAATGAAGCTCACCCTCTAGCGCTTTGGGGGGGCGCCCAAATCGCCCCCCCCAATAATAACAACGCTCCCGCTCGAGACTTTTTTTTTGTTGCCCAGAGCTGGTGCCTTTGCTCGCCGCCGAACCGCCGCCTCAACAAGACCAACGCTCCCGCTCGAGACCTTTTCCAGTTTTGCCTTGGACTGGCGCGCCACTCTTTCTCTCATTGGCGCCGCCGCCCCGCTCCCGCTCGAGACTTCCTCCTATTTTAGTTGGAGCCGGTGCTTTTGCTCGCCGCTGAAAACCGCCGCCCCAACATAGCCAGCGCTCCCGCCCGAGACTTCCTCCCGTTTTACGCTGGACTGGCGTCCAACTCTCTTCTGCATTGGCGCCGCTTCCAGCAAGAACAACGCTCCCGCTCGAGGCTTCCACCATTTTTCCTGAAGACGGTGCTGTTCCTCGCCGACGACAGCCCCCGTCCCGACAAAACCGCTGCTCCCGCTCGAGACTTCTTCCCTTTCCACTCAAGGCGGTGTTCCTCCTCACCGCCGACAACCGCCGTCCCAACAGAACCAGCGCTCCCGCTCGAGACTTCGTTTTGTTTTACGCTGGACTAGCGCCCTACTCTCTTCTGCATTGGCGCCGCTCCCAGCAACAACAGCAGCCCTGCTCGGTACTTTCCCCCTTTCTATTCAGGGCCAGGTCCTTGCCTCACCGCCGACCCTGTCGTTCGATACTTCCTTGTGCTTTACCCTTTCTCTGGGGTTTCACTGGCGGTCTCGCATGGGCGCAGCAAGGTGTGGGCATGTGTTTTCGAGGCAGGATATGTTGAAATTCCTCGGAGGAGGTGTTTGCAAAACTTCATTGGGCGGGAGATCTGGGAATGGGAATGACAGACCCCACTCTAGAACATTAATACCCCATGATATGGATGGTCATCATGATGGTCGCATGCTGCGTGTGGAAACACCGCGCATGAGGGTAACATGATTGTTGTTGTTGTTGAATATTATTACTTCTAAAGAAATATTATTGTTGAGACCCCTGGTGCGCGACCCCCCTCCAAAACCTAGGCCGCAGCCTCATTTCCTTCATTTTCTAGCGAAAGCTTCAGAAAAGTGGATTGTCACCGGATCCGGTTGTTTTGTTGTAATCCGTTTTCCCTTGCAAAAAACACTATAAAATGAAAATTCTTGTTCTTACTTGATCAAATTGCAAGAATCCCTTGCAAAAAATAAGGTAAAGTGGACATTCGTGCGCGCAAGACGAAATCCTTCCAAAACCTTAGGTTTCGTAACGATTTTAACATAAAAACATCAAAAACCCAATGGTTTTTTAAGAAAAAATTGTCAAAATGTCCTTCCGCGCGCGCTGTCCGAATCCCACAAAACCAATGGTTTTTCAACATTTATGTTACATGAGCTCGCGCGAGCTACTTTTTCTTGTTCTAACATAATCAAATTTCAATAATCCCTTGCAAAAAATAAGGTAAAGTGGACATTCGCGCGCGCAAGACGAAATCCTTCCAGAACCTTAGGTTTCGTAACGATTTCAACATAAAAACATCAAAAACCCAATGGTTTTTCAAAAAAAAATGTCCAAATTTCATCCCGCGCGCGCTGTCCGACTCCCACAAAATCAATGGTTTTTCAACATTTGTGTTACATGAGCTCGCGCGAGCTACTTTTTCTTGTTCTAACATAATCAAATTTCAATAATCCCTTGCAAAAAAAATGTAAAGTGGACATTCGCGCGCGCAAGACCAACAAAAAACACGACGATCTCAGGAACTTGCCCCAAAAATGTGACCAACTCCGCTCTCTCTGTCTCTCTCTCTGTCTGCTCTCTGTCTCTCTCTCTGTCTGTCTGTGTCATGTATTGTATGTCACAATTGCAGGATGCTGGG